CCAAACCAAAAAAACCATTGTCATGCAACATAAACGCAGCCCGAGCCAAGGGACATTTTCCAGTGCAATCAGAGGAATGCTCCCAGAGCTTGCCTGGCTCTCTCGTTTCCCTGCCAGCCCTCAGCCCCCAGGTTTTGCAGCAGCAGCCCCAGCGATCTCCGCTGTTCCTGAAGGAGTCCCTTCTCCCCTTGGCAGGGCGCCCTCGGAACGCTCCTCGCTGCCAGGACCCGCTGGGGATGCTGATATTATTTATAATGGGAGCTGCTGCGAGTCCTCTGGCTGCCTGCAGCTTCTCCAAGAGATTGCAGCACGGCCGTAATTCTTTTCCCTGCTTGAGATTGTGCTSGGGGAGCCTGGAGCTGGGGGGAAGAGAGGGTGGGAGATGAAGAGAGTGTTCCTGGCTGGCGTCGCAGCACTTGTCTGCCACAGCCGTGTGCTTTCACTGCTGTGCTCAGCTCTCCTGCGGGAGGATGCTACAAGAAAGGCACCAACAGCAGCTGCTGCTCTTCCTACCCACCCCCCTGACCATGCTGGCAGCTGTCTCCTCGTCTTTCCCGTCCTCTCCTTCCCYACTCAGTGATATTTTGCCTTTTCGATCTCTTCGTTGAGGAACTGTTCCACCTCCCGTGGAAATGCGTGCCAATTTTCCTGCTGGCTCCTCGGGGAGGTGGAGCAGACACAGCCCCAGTGCAATGTGGAATTGTAGATGTCTGGCTTCCCTGGGGAGCTGGGGAGGGGGGCTCAGGGGTGTTTTTGTGTTAGCTGGTCCTATAGTTTTTATAGTAATGGCAGAATTTCTCCATTTGAGCTTCCATCAGCTCAAACGGTCAGGGATRTTCTGTGGGTCCTTAGGAACAAGAGACCAACCTGTTCAGAGCCCTGCTGCTGTGGAAGAGCTTTTCACACAGGAGACATCCTTTATCCACTCCCTGCCTCAGTTTCTCTGCACAAGGAATRTGCCAACCCTCATGAGATGCATGGGGATTAAAGGGAAATCCAAAATCAGCTGGGTTGCTGAGCTGTTTCCTTCATATTCTTTAGCAGATCATCGCCATGTTGTTAAATAGGAGTTTTTTTTTTTTTTTTCCAGGGGTTCTGACTCTGCTCTGGGTGCTCAGCTGGTGTCTGTGTGGAGTCACTCAGCAGAAAAACAAAGCACAAGGCAGCCCATTGCTGGGAGCAGGAATAGGAATATTTTGTGTATGCACAGACATTTCTCCACTCGTTATTTCCACACAGAGGAAGACCAGGGGATCAGAGGCTGGTGAAACTCACATTTCAACCCAGAAAGGGTTAATAATTATTTCTCTTAATAGCTTAGCAGTGTTTTAGTCTCTCCTTCCCGGTGCAGAAACTCCCCAGGCTCCAGCATCGCTCCCATCCCCAGCTGGCAATTGCAAAATCAATAATTCGACCACTATGTGCTCTTGGCTAAAATGACAGAGGCAGAGCAAGAGATTCTGGAGGCAATTTGAAGCCCAAATTCAGCGTGGCCACTTGGCAGCTGCGAAACAAAGAGAAAAGGCAGCCCCAAAGCACTGCAAATCAGTCAAGGCGCTTTGCACCCTTCTCCCTAATCTCACATCATAAAACACCCCTAAATCTCTGTAAGGCCACGCTGTAGGATATCCTAAACTGGAGAATTAGCTGCTCAGCACCACACACGGTGGGAAATAACCAAAAAGGGGTATTTTTGGGGTTGTGCTGGCTGCTGTTGGGTGAATCAGCTTCCCAGTGGTATAGGGCGCATTTGGGGGGATAAAACATGCAAGGAAAGGGGAAATTGGGAACTTCTTACCGCCACGAAGAACATGGTGAAGAAGTAAACCATGGCTTCCATGTGGAAACGCCGCTTGGCCGCGATGCTGATGGTGGGGAGGAAAGCCARGGAGCTGAGGGTGGGCAGAAGGAGYTTGGCCACCAGCGAACCCATGGGGCTACCGGGAGCAGGGTCTGTGTGAGCTGGGCAGGAACGGTGGACAGAGCAGCCGTGGGGAGTGTGCTTTAAAATTTAAATGCCCTGCGTGGCAGGAGGGCTGCGGGCAGGGAACAGCTGCCACCACCACAGCCGCCGCCTGCTCTCCCGGCTCAGCCCGGATTCTTGAGGCAGCAGATGCTCTGTGCCCCCAAAATGGTCCTGGGTGTTTCCAAAGGAGTGAAAGGGAGCCTTGTCCTCGCGTGCCTTGTGCTGGGTGCTGGATTTGGACACGCGGTGGGTGAGGGATCTGGGTTTGCTCGCTCCTCATGGGGACATCGCACCCCTGTGTGCCACTGTCCCCGTGCTGAGCGCTGCTGGAGTGGCCTGGTGGGGAAAACTGACCTCTTTCCTCATGGGATGGAGGGCTGGGCACTGATCTCTCCTCTCTGGTGACCAGGGAGAGGATCTGGGGCTGTCCTGAGCAAGGTCAGGAGATGGATTTGATGATCCCTGTGGATCCATTGCATTATTTTATCATTCTCTGTTTTGCCCTTCCATGAAAGGCGAATGCCATGTGAAGCACCCGGGTTTTTTAAAACATTGGGGTGTATCCTACTACCTCTGAGTACTTGAGAAAAACACACCAAGCCTCAAATCTGCCTTTTATTCCCCATGTGGGGTGGGTGCAGACATCGGGGAACTGGTGCGATCCGGCACCCAGCCCCTGCTGCCAGTGCCTACGTGCCCTCGGCAGAGTTAAATGCAGTTAAATTTCCCAGCCGTGCCCTCAGCCTTTTCAGCCTGGCCACCTCCAGCAGTTCTGTCTGAAATTCAGGAGCCRAGCGTCTCCGGGCTGGAGGAATTTGAGCGGATTGTCGTGCCGCGCGGAAAAGCTGGAGGAAAGGAAACCAAAAATCCGAGCGGGCTGTTCGGGCTGCTAATCCACTCAGTGCTTCTCTCTTTTATTATGAATTTTTATTATATCGCTGCTGCTCCCCCCCTGCGTTAATATCTTTTCCTTGGAGCCTCGCTGGGATTCTCGGCATCCTTTTCGCTCCAGCTGTTCCCTGCGAGGAGCAGGAATGCTAAACTTGAGCAAGAGCCTTTGTGGCTGCGGCTTTGGGGCGGAGGGTGGGAGCTGCGATAGGAGCCACCGTCTCTGGGGCTGATAGGACGGGCTCGCCTGTCCCCCGGGAGGGCGTCTGGAGGAAAGACAGGCATGTATGGATAAAAAAAAAATCCTTTTTGAACCGCTCCAGTAGGATGGAAAGGGCTCAGGGTGTGTTTGTGCGTGCAGGGACTGGCACGGAGAGTTAAAGCACCGACTCTGTGCCCACAGATGAGCCGGGATCCTGTTTTTAGCTGATATTGCAGCTAAAATGTTCGCATTCCCCGGCTGGCTGCAGGCAGATCCCTCCACGGGACGCTGCCCACACCCCACACCACATCTCCAGCCGCCCTCCCGCCTGGGCAYGCTATAAACTTACCACAAAGCTCTGCAAAACTGAATCTTGACCGACAAATATTGAAAAACTCCTATTTGCTGTGGAAATGAATCCCTGCAGCCAGCACAAGAATTCCCTGATGCTCCCCAGGTGTCCAGCCCTGAGCTGAAGAGTTCCAGCACACCCCAAAGTACTCTGCACCTTTTCTGGGCCACATCCTCATTGTTCTGTGTTATTTTGTGTGGCCTGCTGGGACCAAGGAAGGTGCTATGGGGCAGGGCTTGTCCTCTGTGGGGTTTCAAGCAGATTTAGGGTTAACAGGTTACATTTAACAGGTTGCACAGACCACTCTGGACTCCAGGCCATGAAAACAGCACCTATACTGTTTTTGTGGCCATGAGATGGGTGTCAAAGGGGTGAAAGCACAGCTCAAACCCTGCTGCTGGGGACAAACTCCCATGTCTGGGTGCAAAGGAACCCCCAYACCGTTTGTGAGGACACAGGTGAAAAATCCCATGGAGCAGTGGTTAAATACATCCCCCTCACCYCCAGCCTTTGCCCAAAATCCAGCTGGCGCCCACTGGAAAGGAAACCCCGTTGGCTGCTGGATGCAGCCAGTGCCAGCCATGGCAGGGAAGTGTTGGAGCTCTCAGGAGCAAGAAAACATTCCACAGGTTGTTGGGGCTTTATTCTTTTTTTTTTTTTTTTTTTTTTTCTCTCCCCAGCTGCACGCTCCGGGCTGGTGGTTGGGTTGCAGCCAGCGCTGTAGGCATGGGGAGGGAAAAAAAAAAAATATCTCCCACCGGGTTGCACACGTGTTTCAGCTATTATTGAAAAAAAAGAGCCCCCAAAATAAATGGGGAGGAGAGGGGCAGGCAGGTRGGGACCTTGAAAAGTCTTTGTTCAGGCTGCAAACACTGCGGTGTAGACGTGGGTTGGGCAAACCTTCCCGGGAARGAACCCAAAAACAAAAGGGCCAGGAGTCGGTTCCTCCTTTCCCAAACAGGTAGGAAATGGAGAAAGAGCAAATTTTAGCTCCTGCCTTTAAGTGCTGCTGGAAAGGGGATTTTTTTCGATCCGCATTCCACAGGGCTAATTTCGTGTGGACCGGCGTGCACACGGTGATATATATGGCTGAAAAGCGGCTCCCAGATGCCAAACCCAGGTTCTGGTATGCTGTCCTGGATCCTTCCAGGGTAACATTAACCGTGGCTCTCTGCAAGAGCTCCTACCCTTTCAACTGAGACGCTGCAGCGGGGGAAAGAGACACAGAGGGTTTTGTTTTATTTTTAATGCGAGGGTGATGGTTTGAAGGCAGTGTGTGTTGGAACGGAGGATGAGGGGGCTGTGCCAGCTGAGAGCATTGGGAGTGTTTTCTCCTTGGGGTAAGTAGGGGATGATCTTTCATCTGACTCTGGTGYAGAATTGAAACCTGCTCTGTGCCTGAAATATCGGTGATAATGACCCAAAAACAAAGAGTGAAGCTGCAGCTTCTGCCTGGGCTTGCAGTTTGAAGGGCTGAGGTGCTCCAAAGTGGTTTTTACCTCTCCCATCATTTCAAAATTTCATTTTTAATCCCCACAATGCTTCAGCTTCTGATGGTGAGGAGCTGGATGGTGGCCTGTTCTCAGCAGGTTGATGTAGCAGAACCCCAAGGAACCCTGAGCAATCTGACCAGCATGGCTCCATCCATTTTGGGGAGATTTCCTCTCTTTTTTTTGATGAAGAAACCTCCCGGTGTGGAAGCAGCCCATGGGCACAAGCCTTTCACCTGCTCTGCGGATAAAAACCAGGATAAAAACCCCTCTCCCCACTCACTACAGCCCCTCCCCAGGGGCTGTAGGTGAGACCCCGACGTGGGGAGCATTTTCTGGGCAGCTGGAATCCAGACAGGGGCCCTGGCACCGGGGAAAGGAGCCCCATAAAGGCAGAGGCAGCTCCAGCTGTGCCGGAGCCCTCGCTCTGCTCACCCAGGTCCAGCCCTGCCAAAGCACCTGCATCCTTCTCATTTTATTAGTGGAATAAATTGCCACTTAAAAATATCCATGCTCCCTAAGGCCTGGCCCCATTTTAGGCAGCTTTAGTTGAATGCTTACCCTTAAAAAAAAAATAAAAAAAAATCCCCCTTCCTGTCTCCCTGTTGAATAAACCTATTATGCATTTTCCTCACAGGTATCCCTGCTGCTGTTTTCCTTAGGGTTTTTTTCACTCTTCCCTTTCCTCTCAGCCCTGTCATGGCCCATCACAAGCCTGTCACCATTAATGACGAGGACATTTGATTTCTTGTCACCAGTTTTCCGTYGCTCCTACCTTTGGGGTGTCCCTGGGTGGCCCCCAGCTGCCAAATTCATGGAGGCAGTGCAAGGGTTTATTGCTCATTTCATGGTGTTTAATGGGTTTTTTTTAACAGTCATAACTCCTGGAGCGCAGTAACGACATTGAGGGTCTCAGCCCTCACCCAGTTGGTCCAAAAAATGTCATTTTCTGCAGAGAAACGCTTGAAGCCGTGATGCTCCAAGGCTCGAAATCCAAAAAGGGAATRAAACCAGTCTTAGGGTTTTTGGGGAGTCTGACTCACGGATTTTGAATGCCTGTGGTTGGCAGGGCTGCATAGCTGATGGCCCTCAGCACAATACTGCTCCACTTCCATGTCAGACTCATTCCATTCAAAGAAAAGCCTTTGTACTTTTTTTATTTTTTTCCTTCAATCTTCTCATAGCTAAAATTTCGAACCAAGCCTGACTCTCCTGTAACCTTTGGGGACAGGTAAAATTAAATCCTGCACAGAGAAAAAGAGATTCTTAAAACCATAAAAACCCCACAGCCGTGACCGTACCTGGGGTCTCTGCGGCCGCTCGTGGCTTTCAAACTGCCCAGAGATATTTTTCACAGGAATCTGATGGCGAGGGCAGCTCGGTGGCTTTGTCTGCTTCACTTTGACTCAACATTTTGCAAATCTCCCCGGATGAAACCCTCACACCAACGTGGCATAAATCAGCCCCGTCCCCAGTGCGTGGARGCACGCAGGGATGAGCTGCCTTGCCCAACACTGCGCCGCAGGTCACTCTGCAAGGGACCTCCAGAACTTCTTTTGATCTCCTCTTGCTTGTTTTACTTACCAGTGGTGGGCCACAGCTGCAGCTCTTGGCTGACAAGGTATTTTTGGGGGGTTTTGCCACGTTTTGATCCTGCTGGTGAAACTCTGGTGGCGCAGGGGGGGAAATCTGCCCCTTTCAATCTGCCCCTTTCAATCTGCCCCTTTCAATCTGCCCCTGCCACACCAGTCTGGCCTGGAAAGAACTGGTGTGGCCGTGCAGGGGTGTCAAATTAATGCATCACTTAGGAAGAAAATCAAGAAAAGCAATCAGTTGTCTCATCCTGGGTGAAGATGGAGCTGCTGGGAGGTGTTGGCACAGCAGACTCCTGACCATACTTGTGCTCCTGGACCTGGGTGGGTGTTTTGGGGGGTCTGGCTCCAGCAGAGCCATCCTGTCTGCTGTGCCAGTGCTAGAGCTGGGGCAGGAAATGGGCTGATTTTGCTGGGAAAGGGCTGATTTTGCTGGGAAAGGG